TGTATGTATGCATGTGAGCATGTATGTGTGTATGTATGTATGTGTGTATTTATGTATGTATGTATGTATGTATGTATGCGTATGTATGTATGTATGTATGTATGTATGTACGTATGTATGTGTGTATGTATAGTCATACACATGTAATGAAAATTTTCAGGACACTCTGCACGGGAGCGCGATTTTCTTCAAAATTTTCAGGACGTTCCGCGCGGGAGCGCGATTTTCGTCGAAATTTTCAGGACGCTCCGCGCGGGAGCGCGATTTTCAGCAAAATTTTCAAGATGCTCTGCGCGGGAGCTCGATTTTCCTCAAAATTTTCAGGACGCTCCGCACGGGAGCGCGATTTTCGTCCAAATTTTCAAGACGTTCCGCGCGGCAGCACGAATTTTCCCAAAATGTTGACGACGCTCCGCACGGGAGCGCGATTTTTCTCAAAATTTTCAAGACGCTCCGTACGGGAGCGCGATTTTGGTCAAAAGAGAACGATCTTGAGCTGATCAGTTGGTATAGAATTGGTATAGAAATCGTTCCTTAAACGATCAAAGTTCAAATGACGAATCCGACGAATCCTTTACCAATCCTATACCAAAACGACCCCCCAAGAATCTCCCTCTTGAGACCCAGAAGATAAATCGACGAAATTTCGGGGACGTCTCGAGCAGGAGCGCGATTTTTGAAAAATTACATTGTCAAAAAATCTCAGGACGCTTCGCACAGGAGCACGATTTTGATCAAAAGAGAACGATCAATTTTGAGGACGTCTCGAGCGGGAGCGCGATTTTTGAAGATTGAACCATCAAAATTTTCAGGACGCTCCGCACTGGGGCGCAATTTTGGTCAAAAGACAACGATCTTGGGCAGACCAGTTTGGTATCGAATTGGTATAGAAATCGTTCCTTAAACGATCAGAATTTGAACAACGACTCCGACGAACCCTGCACCAATCCTATACCAAAACGACCCCCCAAGAACATCCCTCTTGAGAAGATAAATCGACAAATTGAGGACGTCGAGCCTCCGAGCGGGAACGCGATTTTTGAAGCCAAATCATCAAAATTTTCAGGACGCTCCGCACGGGAGCGCAACTTCGATCGATTTGAACGAAGATAAAATCGAGATGAAATCAGCGAAATTTTAAGGACGTCTCAAGCATCTCGAGCGAGAGCGCGATTTTTGAAGATAGGTTGAAGATAAAAAATGATCAGAGGCTCAAAAAAGCCGATTGTCCGACAATTTTGCTCAATTTTTTGATTCTTTATAAAGTCGTATAAAAAAGCGGTTTTTTGATGATATCTCGAGCGAGAACGCGATTGTTGATAATTGTTTGAAGTCAGGGGGTCGTCCAATTCGTTTCGACCCCCCCCTAGCAAGGGCACCTTAAAGGCAATCTGGCCTCTCAGACGCCACATTGTAACATTCACTGTTTCGAGGACGTCTCGAGCGAGAGCGATTTTTAAGCTAACATGATCGCGTCCAAAATGTTTGCGTGACGGAAGAGCACACTGCGGGCGCCGGGCGACGACACATCGAAATAATTAATAAGAACCCCACACTAGATGCGGGGAAAAAACCTTAATTCAGAAACCATAACAACCCTTAAATTAATTAAGGGGTTTGGGATGCTCTGGGAAGCTGTGGCACATGAACTACAGGACCACTCGCCCGGATCTCCCGCCTCAGCATCCTTTCAAGAAGTATCGTGCGTCCCGAAACGGCTGTCTTCAGGGAGATGGCGAAGATGAGACCTGCGCACATGGGCCGCAAGTCCAGGAATGAGATTTCCTTCCGCGCCGGTGATCTTCGCAGCACTTATGATGAAGATTTGTTAGAGAAGTCGTCGGACGCAGGCCTTCGTGTGGAGCAGACACATAAGCAGCTGCGCGAGAAGCTCCTTGCTAAGGGGGGTACTCGCAAGCATTTTCAAAATACCATGCTTCACTACTTCCTGGCCTGCAAGATTGCTGCGGAGGAAGTTGGAGACATTATCCTGGAGGATGAGGAAGCCTAATTCCGAGATGAGGCCATCATCAGGGAAGATGGTCCCCCTATCTACACCTCCAAGGAGTCTCTTTCCGTCCTCACAGTAAACCCGGGAAATTTCATTCGCGGACGCAAGTCCCAGAGAAGTACGCCAATGTGATCGGCCAGCACGATGATCACACCATTGGCCCTTTGGTCAAGAGTTTGGCTAGGAGTAAGAGCCACCTGATACTCCTGCGTGAGTCCTCTAACCTCGAGTTGAGAGAGGCGGCATATTTGCTCGGCCATGGATGGGTCGTGAAGAGCCATGAGGGCCACGATCTCAGTGTGTTGGTCAGGACTAACTACTGCCTGGAGTACATCCAACATCTGGCTGGCTCTACTCTCAAGCCTGACCTTCACGCGACCCTGCCTTTGTCATATTGGGTCGTGGAGATCAAATTTGGCAAGGCTCCCACGCAGGCAACGATCAAGAAAATGGCCAACCGGTTTGACTGGAATCAGATGGAGGACGACCTAGAGCACTGCGGAGTGACCCGTTTATGAGTGCTAAGGTTGCCGCCAAGAAGCCTGCACTCATGCATGAGGCGATGGGTATTATGTTAGCAGATTGCTTCCAGTACCACGTCAACCTCATCGCAGGAGACGCGAACATGGCAACATGTCAAACAGGGGCTCAAAACAGGGATCTTCATCCATCAGCGACTTGCGTTTCCAGGAGATGGTTTGCTAGTATCTCTGCGCCTACACAGCCTCACAGCGTGGTGATCCGCTCTGTTGCCCTAAGGCGAGGCTTTGTCTCCTCCAACCCGCTCACCTTGCTCAGGTGGATGGAAGACAAGTTCGGCATCCCCTGGAAGGATGTTGGTGCAATGGATTGGGCAAAAGTTCCAAGCCTCGACTGTATGGTTGCCTGCGTCCTGGAGTGGTCTCACAGCGTGCCGATGGATAGGCGGTCTGAAACCGCCGACCCAACGTACGAGTACAAGATCTGCGTATCCGAATGGCTGCTTCATAGTAACCGTGAGACCTACCTCCTGGCGGATTCGGAAAACGACTCTCACACGCCCCTTCTCATTCATCTGCGTCCTACGTGGATGTCGAACAAGGAAAGGCCAGAGTCAATCCGGACACCATAAAAGCTTCTCATGATCGTCGTCGTGAACGTCAGCAAGCCAGAAGGGCCGGACCTCCTTTTGCGCAGGAGGCCATAGCCAAGGCAGTCTACGCGAGCCTATGCCATCACGGACATTTGGCAAGGGCAGCGCAAGACCAGCCCACCGAGAAGGGCAAGACCAAGGGCAAGCACTGCGGCAAGGGCAACGGCCAGAAGTGAGGCGGCTAGAGCGTTGGAATGCTTCCTTTTAAGAAGGTATCCACATAATGCCTTGTTTCTCAGTTCGTTGTACACGACGCCTAAAGAATGTATCTGTTGCACATGGTATCTTTTGCCCAGCTGCGCATAATGTTTTTCTGAAGACACTTCCTTTTAGGAAGGGACTCGTAGTTTTTGTCCAAGAGCCAGAGAAAGAATGCTTCTTTTATAGAAGGGATCTTTGCAGGCACAAATTATATCTGTGGTTTTTTTTGCTTCAATGGGAAGGCTTCCATTGGGAAGGGATCTCAACAGTGTCTCAGAAGCTTTTTATTCTTTTCATGCGGACCTTTCATGGACATGTCTGAGCGAATGTGTTTTTCTTGAAGTGAATCTCCCTTTTTCATCCTTTTTCTGTAGCTGTTCATTCGACTTTCACAAAGCCAGAGAGGTACAGTGTGGGCGCAACTCTGCTACAGAACCTGGGTTGAGTAGCTTTGACAAGACATCCTTGGGCCGACTCAACGGACATGCATAGTTATTGGATTTTCCAAATTTGTGCCTGGTTGAAGCTTTGAGAGTTTCCTGCCAGAGCAGTCACATGGCCAACACACCAGTGCATGATGTCCATATGCTCAAGGTTCTAATGTGGATTCAGTGAGCACTCCCGTGCCTCAGCGCTGTAAAAGAGACACCTGACCACCTTGCTGTCTGTAACCTTGTGAGGGTTACATCTCGGAGGAGGGGGGAGGCTGGCCTTGCCTGCGTTGCTCGCTCTTGGCTCTTGGGCACAGCACAGCCCCTTAGATCAAGTAGTTTGGGTTTTAGAGGCCTATAATAAGAATGAAACAACTCAGCTTTGTGAGCTCTTAGGTACGGTATTTAAAGCGTGGACAAAAGCGGCAGCATGTTGCAGCTTCATCAAAACCAAACCAAGCCAGCTTGAGCTGAATCAACTCTCATGTGGCACAATGCACAACACACAAAACCGCCTTTTCAAACGATCAGCAGGAAATCTGTTGCTCGCTATGCCGTCGTTTCCCTGGCTGGGACAGCAGGCAACCGAAAAGCGCCGACACGACCGGAACAAACTGCACCTGATCCTGCCAGGCACTAAAGTCATGGCCTTGGCCAGACAGGTCAAGAACAGGTTGACCCAGCTGGAAGGACTAAGGTGCTACTAAGATGCAAGGTGTATACTTCGAAGTAGGTTTCATCTGCAAATTCAAAGGGGTCAACGAGGATCATCTCAAGCTTTGGGAGCTTTTCCAGCAGGAAGCTAGAGGTCTTCCCTGTGTGAACACCGATTTCCGCCGCTGTCACGATGCTGTCTTCCTTTCGATCTGACAGGTCGCGGAGCAGCGAAGCTAAGACCTGTGGGTACTGGGAACCGCGCGTTCCCTCGAACACAACTGGCGGCTGTGCAGTCCGCAGCCTGCCCGGAAACGAAGCTGCGACCTGTGCTGCGTGGATCCGGGACATGGCCAGCCGCGACAGCTCCGAAATCCCCTTCAAGCATCTGAGAACCTCTAGAACGCAGGGCAAGCAAAGATCCTCCATGATCTCCGCCATGGCTGCACAGGCAGGAACTGTTTTTGTAAGGTTGTTGACCTTGTCCGCAAGACTCAAGCTTATGGCCTCGAGGGCTGGCGTCAGCTTGGGAGCCACAGCCTGCATGGCTTCTGACGCCCGAGCTCCAAGAAGGTTTAAGTTATCCAGTACTTGTGGCAAGTAGCACCATCCTGGCTCTTCACAGGAAGGGTATCCCTCTTGCTGACTGTCTGGCGTGCAAGCCACGACTACCAAGTCCTTCACATCAAATACAAGATCCGTGAGAAGACCTGCGATTTGAACCACAGCATGCCCGTTCCTCTCGTCAATGAGGGCGCCTTCTGTCCAGAAGAGTGATGCGTTGTATGTCCATTCCTGCGTCTGAAAGTCGACTGAGACCGCGCCAGAAAAGGCTCCGAGAAGCAGCAACAGCGTCGTGGCCATCACCCGACTGTCCAGGACGACCCATTTCAGCTTGCACTTGCCCCAAGGCGTGCTCTCTTGCTCAGTACTTAGAACCTGTCATCTTGAGCCACCTGCACCAGCAGTTCGGCGTAGGCAAGCTGTGACTGAATGACCAATCGCATTTGCAGCAAGCGCAGTCCTGGACAGGTCGTACAGAGCCAGGCCACCGTTGACGTGGCTCAAAGCCTTGCAAAATACCTCACCTTCCCCAAGACCTCGCAGCAATCGCCATGAATAAACTCAGCCCCATACCGAGATGTGAGCAGCTGCGAAGACATGGTGCCTGGAAAAGCAGTGGTTACGTTATCGCTGAGAGCTGCAAGACTAGACACATTGGGGCCGCGTCTGCTCAAACGTATCGAATTGAGCCCAAAGGTCGGCAATGTCATCCAATACCAAGACCTCGCCATTCAAACTGTGCAAGCTAGTCGCTAGCCAGACCAACCAGAGTAAGCTTGGCAAGTCACATCACCCATGTCCACAGCTATGACACGGTCGACCTGCAGGCAGAAGCAGCATGCGCTACTTCAAGGGATACCTCAAGCGGACTCGATTCGGGCAAGCCGCAAGGTGCCTCAGGAGGAAGCAGCTCATGGCCTGAGAAGTGTGCAAAAGACGGCAACACCCTCTCGGCGAGGTCATGCGATCAAAACAAGGCCAGAGCAAACAAAGCGCGCCAGCAGCGCCTCACCTTAGAGCTTTGGCAGCTCATTTGCAAGCAAGTTTAGCTGGGTGTTGAGACCGATTCAGTACAAGACCAATCTTGTTGATGTCGCAGCCCGGCGGGTACTGGCCTGGGATAAGCATGCACACAATGACTATTCCTATTGCCACTTTCATGTCTAAGGTTCGGCTGAACATTGTTTTTTCTGCCAAAAGTGTGGAAACATGTGACATCACGATCGGCGCATCAAGCCCCCGTCTCATGAAGTGTCGGAAGTTGTGGTTGTTAGTGAAATCCTGGATGTCCAGACACAGCTGCCTAAACGTCGCGCTCATGACTGCAGCATTGCACCGAAAACGCAGCGCTCCACAAACTCCAAATCAATGAGGTTTAGGTTGCGCATCTTGCCCGCAGCTTCCTCAACATGGTGCTTGCGCACCGGAGCATCCACAGCAAATTCTGCTTCAAAGCAGAAATAAGGCTGAAGCAAGATCCCACAAAGTTTCGTGGAAGTTCTGGCAGCACAGGCAACCCTCTGAAATTCTGCTCCGCTCCTCAAAAAGTGCATCAGACATGCTCTGATGAGCTCGGCACCTCCAGACCTTCCGGATCGCCTGAGACATGCTTCCCATGTGCACGCTTCACAACGTTACCAACACCACGCACGAGGCGCTGACCGAGGACAAAGATGTGCAGCGGAACTGATCTGGACCTGGCACAGCTTCCAACACTCGTCCTGCAAGGTGTCTGCAAACTGGTGAGCCTGAGGATGCTCCAGAGCGTTGTAAAGCCTACCTTGGCGGTCTGACCTCAGATCTCTGGCTCAGAGCGGTCTCCAGCAAATCCTCTGGGCATCTGACCAAGATTCAGCACCAGAAGATTCACGGGAGAAGTCCTATGCTGCCGTGCTGGTGCGAAGGGCAAAGATGAGACGCTTGGTTAAAAGCAACCCCAGGTGGGTAGATACGACTCACATAAGGCTTGTGTAAGGGTGATGGGACTACACGATGTAGAGGCCTCCTTTGGCAGTACCCACCTGATCACTACCCACCTGGGGTGGTTCGTTGACTTGGGGCCAAGACTTGACGCGTACAAGGGACTGCCTCCCAGATGCCTCACACGGGACACCGACAACCTTCCTGCCTGGCCAAATGCATAACATTGCATAACATCAGCCCCTTTACACCTGGAAGGATGGTATCACATTGAAGGCAAGCTCGTCGTGCTCTCTCACCTTGGGCAGCGAGCTCTAGGCCGTGGGATGCAACAGGATGGTAAGACATGGCCGATAAACACACATGGGATGAGAGCCGCACCACCATCTTGTAATAGTCCATGAGAAGATCGTCAAACCGACCTCTCACCTGCGCGGCTGCTTTCTTTTGACAAATTGAAAGCATTCATCAAGTACACTTGAATGCGAAGGCTCGGCTTGCATCTTCATATTCAAGAGGCTCGTCTGCCGCAGAAGGGGATTTCAGGCGAATTCAAAGCTTTAAGGAAGGTCCTGCCTCCTGCATATCAACTTCAGGATAGGCGCATCCAGCGTCGACCTCGGGAATGCACAGCGTACCGGGAAATTGCTGTCAAAGTTGTTTTGCACAACTGGGATGCGGAGATGGTCAGATGGTCGGTCAGGCAGCCAGTCATTATGTTTTTGATCCCTGATCAACTAGTAACTATCATTTGACAGTATGGCAAGAAGCTGGCTCAGATGCACGCAGCTGTCTGAGCAAGAAGATAAGAGGAAAAGGCCTGCACAAAGTCACAAAGCCGAGGGACGACTTCATGCTCTCAGCGGCCTCCAGTCGAAGTGCAGCTTTGGCAAGTATTCGACTGGTCCTTAGCTGGCCTAAGGCTGAGTGGGAAGTTACCAGTGTAGGTCAAGCTCAGAGCAGCTCGCCATGGCGCGTGGCCTCAAGGACACCGGACTGCCCTCTCCAGCAAAAGCGGTAGTGTGCAGACTTGCAGTGCAAAAGATGTTTCTTTGAAAGAATTGTGGCACAAATCCAGGAGGCAGGCAGCAGTTCTGCTGCAACGTCAGCCTGGCACAAGGCTTCACCAGCCTCACGACCCAACTCCAAGTAATATGAGTAACTCCTGAAAACCGGGCACCCCTTGAAAACTCAAGCAGTCGCTCAATCGCTTGTTGGGTCGTGCCCTTTGGGGCGGCATGCAAGCAGCTGCTGAAACTCAGGCTGCTACTAGCAGGCGCTTCGAATCTGCTGCTTGCTTCATCTCATCTTTGAGAGCATCCGCCTGACGGCAAAACCCGCTCCCTCACTTCCAAGGGAGTGGACTGGAAACTCACTGCACCCGACGCTTACGTTGCTCTGATGACAGTCGCAGGGTGGGCCGGCCGTACATCTACAGGAGTGTAGGCATAGGTTTTCAGAAGAGGTGAAACAACCTGAAACAAACGCCCCACAGCAGTTGGCCAGCTAGTCATTGTACTGGAAAGTTATTTCATTCCGTGGGCTTCTGAGAAAAGGCCTAAAGGCAAAACGGAGTTGCTGTGCGTCAGCAGCCCCTTCAAGCTGCACGCAAGAACGCAAGTCATGAGAAACTACGGGCCGAACACTTTGGCCCAGCCAGGTTGCTGGATGACCACACATGGCACCTACTTCAGTTATCGATTTGACAACTGCTGTTGTTGGGTCCGGCCACCGACAGGTTAGTCGACACATGCGCGGAAAGGAACCCATGGCGTTGATTGTGGATTGAACATCTCACAAACCCGATGTGGCTTCAGCTTTAACTGCAAGTCACCAAGGCCCGGTAGCCTGCAAGCATGCGGAAGCTGCCGTACTAACCTGCAGATCAAGGACAAGCCCTTTCGGGGTCAAAGCATGTCAAAGCCTTAGCCTCGCACTGCAAGTGTTCGCCAGCCTTCCAAGCTCTTGTGGTCAAAGTCCACGACTACCCTGACGAGAGCACAGAGCACAACATCAACAGACAAATCGCACATGCAGCTGATTTTTTCTGGGGCCGCGTAACCGATTGTTGTTGGCACTGCTGCCACTGGCTGCTGGATGCATTCAAACAGGCATCTCAGCTTCTAGTTGCCATAGCCATATTGGCTCTCTAAGTGCAGCACAGTGTCTGCAGGGATTTGGCATGCTAGGCTCGGCCATTTGTCGCCGAGTGTCGAGGTGTGCTTCAGGCACATGAGGGTGAAACAGGTAGCACTCAGCAGCTGACGATGCGCATGCAGGTGCCCAGGCAGCACATCAACGCCAATGCGCCGCTGGAAGATTGCCAAGAAGGCATTGCCGATCTGGGGTATCACCGGCTCCAAAATTCTCGGCTCTGTGCGCTGGCACAGCTCTCCCAAGGCCCAGGCCGCAGCCCAGTTCACAGCGGTGCTTGCGGAGTGTTGCAGGCCTGCGACAAGGAGGTCAAGGATGTGCGGCAGCAAGGGAATCACCTGATCCTTGCTGTGCTCGGCGGCGCTGCCTAGCAGCCAAAAACCCGCTTCCCGCGTGCGCATGCTGCAGGCCCCGAGCGCCAGGGGCAGGGTGTAGAGGAAGTTGTTGGTCCTCAGGAGACCAACAACCTCGCCCTGCAGGCCGTAGATCATGGAGGCGAGCAGGTCCACTGCTGCAGCCATGAGATCTTGGTCCGGCTGCTCAAACTCTTCCGGGTTTTGCCTCCAAATCTGCACCGCAGACGCTGTCTCGTTGATAACCTGCACCGCCTTGTCCACCAGGCTTGGCAGTGCGTGTTCCTGTGTCAGGAAGCGTGCCAAGTTGTTCACAACCGCTGCCATGCTCTCGAAAAGTGACATAGCTGTCGGGTCACCTGCCTGGACTCTCAGGAAACGCTGGAACAGCGCAACCAACACAGGAAGGCCGCTACTGGTCATGTGGTCTGGTGCAATCTGAACTGCAATCCCAATGCACTGGTACAGCTTGCACAGACTCTTTGTCTTGTATGTTTCCATGCCAACTTTCAAGGTCTCGCAGATGGGGTGCATGAAGGGCATGATGGTGTCGACATGGAGGATGGCCGCCAGCGACACTATGGCTGCCCTTTGAACTTGCTTGTTGCGATCTTTGCAGCGCTCGAGGATGGCTGGGACGACAGCAGATACCAAGTCGCTGCAACCAGGCAAGAACTGCGTGAGGCTCATGCATGCCATACTTCGGACAAGGGGCTGAGGGGATGAAAGCAGCCTCAGCAAAAGCTGTACGATGGCCTGCAGGTACTCGGGAACAATCTGCATGCAGCTGCTCGCGACAAGGCCCAGGGCCATAATGCCAGCCTCTTGCTGCTTCCAGCAGGTCGCCTGCAGCTTTTCATTGATGAGTGGCAGTATGCACCGGCAAACTTGTCCACCATGACTGCCATGTGGGCCCGCGAGAGTTTCCAAGGCATCTCCTGCCACCATGCGTGCTGTCCACTCTTCACCCCAACTGGCGCTGCTCGCTGGGCTTGTTTTCGGTGCCTCTTCCTCACTGAAGCGCCCCTCTTTGTGGAACTGAGGCTGGATTTCTTCAAGACCATCCTCCTGGTCAGCATTGTCCTCATCCAGGGCACCGGCATCCAAGGCCAACATGTCTGCCGGACCCAGGGTCAAGTTTGCCATGAGGATGGGCGTGAGTTGAGGAAGTCTCTCTTCCAGAAGCGGATGGAGCGCAACAGACTCAGAGGCCAAGCGCCACACTGCTAAGGCCTCTCGGCGAACATCATCCTCAGCATGCTGGCAAGCACCAAGCATGAAGTTCAGGATCATGCTCACGTGCTCTGGGGTCAAAGCAGCCCAACGCTGCTCGATCACAGAGCAGAAGCCCATGCAGGCATTTCGAACCAGACCCGTGTCTGCACTCATGGCAAGGGAACCGAGTGTCTGCAGAAATCGTGCTTGCAGTCCTGCTCCTGCTGGCCACTTATCGGGATCAAAGGCGCCCTGCACAACAAACAGCGCCAGGAAGTCAGAGGCCTGCTTCCGCAGCCAGGTCGGGACTCTGTCCTCTGTCAACTCCATGGCCCTGGGCAGGAGCTTGCAGCAGCAAATCTGCACAAACGCCTCATCCACGTCTTGCGCCAGGAGATCCTCGCAGGTTAGACTCAAGGCCCAAAGGCTTCCCTCAAGCACGTCAGCATTGTCGACGTAAAGGTTTTCAAAGACGCCTCCCAGAACAGCTAGGTCCAGCCTGCGCTTGAGCAGGCAGGCTAGGATGCTCCCGGCGGTATGGCGCAGGATCTTGGCCGGGTGGCCCAGCATCTTCATGACCCTGCCGCATAGGGCCAATTCATCGATGGCAGCTCCTGCCTTCAGCTGGTTCTTGAGGCAAATCCCGGCGCTCTGCCGGATATGGAGCTCTGCCGCATCTGACTCAAATACAGACACCAAGGCTACGGTGAAGCCTGGCATCTTCCGGAGCTGGTGCATGGCCTGCAGAACCCTCTTCTGCACTTCCCCATTAGGCACCAGCGATGCCTCGAGGAGGGTGCAAATCTCTTGCGGGCTTGGCTCTGCATTTTGCAGAGCAAAGCCCTTCATCAAAGGCCCCGCCAAGTCACCAGGCGCCGCCATTGCTCATGTCACCATGGCACTACATTCCACCGCGCAATTTCCCAACTTGGCTAACTCCTGCTGCTTTTGCTGCGAAGCAAATGAAAGAGTACATGCATGGCTTGGACGACTGCTACCGTCGAGCCACACCGCATTTACCAAGCATTTCAGGTCCAACGGCTGGTAAAAACGTTTCTCAAAAATGCTTTGTGCCCTCAGCATACTGGGAACGGTATGCATTTGCAGTATGCTTCCAGGTGCCTCTCCAGTGCAGCGATGACGTGGGAGCGCTCCTGGGGCACCAGTCTTTTGTATCTCGCAAAATCGCAAGCAGTATGCACAGAAGCAGCCATGACACGCCTCTGGGTCATCTGCAATCTTCTCTGGGCCAACAACTCCCAGGACGCGTAGGATGAAGTCTGGCAGCCAGCGCCCATGCTGCAAGGAACTGCAAGGACATTTTAATGCACCTAACATCACCAGGCCTGCGCGATCTCGAGGAGCACCGCAGCACTTCCTCAAATGAGGCAAAATGACCCTTCCGGATCTGACTGCCTTGTCGCGGGTCGCACTCTCCGACGACTTCCAAGTACTCCTCCAGGCAAAGGCAAAGCAAGCAAGGTTTCCAATCCAGCAGATGAGCAGCAGACTGCTGTTGAGCGCCTTGGGGCAGCTGAGGCGCAAGTCTTCCAATGGCACCACATCGGGAGGAGGGCAACAAGCGATCTCAGTTGCATCAAACACTAGACTCACCGCATCTCTAAGCTGTGAGTCAGAATGGGAGCTTCAGTAGCAAAGGCTTCCACATAAAGGATCAGTGTCGGAAAACACTGCGATCCGGCAAACATTTGCCTGAGAGCGCCAAAGCTGTCATCCTTCAGCAGCTTGGGGCAGAAAGTCTCAGACACACACTGCAACCTCGCAGCAAGCCATCGCTTCTTTCACAGAGAAGGGGCTGAAACGAGAGGCACGTGCTGCACTGACTCGCTACGTGCGGAAGATCTCTTCGGGAAGCTTCTTTGTAGGTTGGGGTGCTTTCAAGAATAGTTCCTGTGAAACTGTTCTGATCACAGCCACTAAGTCAGATAGGAAGCCCAGCTGGCGAGCAGCCTGTGCAGCGGCCACAGCCACAGACATTGGACGCTTCAAGGTTGACCATTTGACCCTTTGCAAGGCTTTTGCCACTGCAACGTGCTGGTACTTGGGTCTGGCGTCTGGGCGAGGGCACCATACTCTACGAGATGGATGCAGACGGCTCGCCTGGTATGTACAAAAAGATCTCGCCTCCATTCTACGTGGGTGGCGCTGTGTCGCTTGGACAGCACGCTGAAACTCTCGACTGCACCGCCACTTGGAAAGACTGGCCTCGTTGGTGACGAACACGCAACTAGGATGGCACAGGTCAAGAGCAGGAAACTGCAGGAGCTTTGTTCGAAGGCCTGGCCTTGAGCCTTGGGCCTTTGGAAACTCTCCACCTAGAAACAGCTGGACTTGTCATTTTCCAAGAGTCTGGCTTCTGGAAAAGGTCACACCAAAGAAAATTGTGCACAAGTCATTTAAAAAAGTGTGTCATCCCCATCACGCTTTGGACAAATCCGCGCTGCTCTGCTTTGCAGCTGCCAGCCAGGACACTACTTTGATGAAGGCAGTTAGATCGAGCTGATTGCCGCAATCCATGAACAGCTTCACCTCCCATACGTAAAACGACAACACAAGCTGTGCTACACAGTAATCAAATAGCTTCTCCATTCTTCCTTTCAATCTGAGGGCACCACACCATCACCACACCACCACCCAGCGAACCGCAGTCTAAAGGCGCACTTTTCACGTTCAGGTTTTCATGGGCCCCTGATGGCCCCTGCGTCAGCCTTCCAATATCATTTGCTCTCAATCAGGGAAACAAGAGGATATGGAAGAGGCACGTTTTGATTCCAAACGTGATATGACGCTTTTTTCATGGTCATGTTTTCACGGGCCCCTGATGGGCCTGTGTCAGCCCCCCAGTACCATCTACTCTCAATCTGCGGATAAGGTTCCAATTTCAACAGTTGGGGTCCGGGGTCCGGGAGGTGACCAAAAATCGGCGCGGTGTTGTCACGGAGCGTCCGCAAGCGTCCGCGAAGCATTCGCAAGGTGCTCGCGAGTGTAGGGACCCGGCTGGACCCCCAAGAGTCGTCGTCATCCTCGTAACTCTTGTCGCTTTCGGACCCTCACAGCTTCGTCGCGTGACAGAAGTGTCAACCATCACAGAGATGGGGGTTCTGGGGATCGCCATCCTCGCAACCTTTGTTACTTTTTGCGTGGCACAAGCGTCAACAATCATAGGGATTGGGCCCCTAAGGGTCGCCATCCTTGTGGCCCTGCAAATCCTTCTCCTCGCAACTGTCGTCGCTTGTGGACCCTGGTGGTCTGAGTCTGGGTGGGTGGCCAAAGCGTCAACAAATCTCAACAGTCACAGGGATGGGCCCCTCAGGGTCGCCAGCCTTGTAAACATCGCCGTTTTTAACCCCCGGAGTAGAAAGCGACGTGGCAAGTGGCGTGCACAGTGTAGAGTGCAGAGTGGTGGAGAGTGGAGTGGAAGATGGAATGAAGAGTGGACCGGAGTGGAGAATGGGGCGTGGAGAGGGTGAAGAGGAGAGTGGAGAGGAAAGTAGAGGAGTGCAGTGGGGAGTGCAGAGCGTGGAGTGGTGGAGTGTTGAGGGTGGAGTGTGGCGTGAAATGTGGAGAATGAAGCTAAAAGTGGAGTGGAAAGTGGAATGCAGGTGGAGAGACTGGAGAGAGCGGAGAGAGCGGAGAGAGCGGAGAGAGCGAGCAGTTTGCTAGGACTTGGCCTATGGCCGTGCGACTGTGCACTCGCGCCTTCCGTGGAGGCTGGAGAGACTGGAAACAGTGGAGAGAGGTTGCAAAAAGCAACCGAGTCCTCTACTTCTTTACAAGAATCTGACAGTCCTTCACGCTCTTCGTAAGAAACTTTCAGAGCTCCCCTCACCCATGCAAGCGCCTCGGCAGGCTCGAAAAAGAAAGTTTGGTTGCTGCTTTCCTCAGTAGAATTTGAATATGAGATACCCAAGACATTGTGTTTGTGAATACCTTGGTAAATATTGGGATACCCAGAGTCTCTCAAAGCAAAACTGCTTTATCATGTGAAATGTGAAATCTGTGTATTCCGAAACCCCAATTTCATCGGCATGTACGGTGTTTTCTAGGGACTTCGAATAAGAAAGAGAAATGCATATGGATCATGGGTTGCGCGGAGAATTCGACGTCCAAGCCTCATGATAAGCTGTAACTTGACTTTACATTGTCTTTATTTCGCAGAAGTAGCTCTTTTGCTGCGCACCTCAAGCGATGTTCGGAAAGCAATGCAGAACGGGGGTCGATCCTGCAGCTTGTTCTGGGATGCCTTGAACCATGTTCGTCCACTTTCTGAAGCCATGATTTGTTGTGTGTACCTTCGGTCTTTGCATATATGCCTAACGACTCAAGGCCTCAAGGCCTTTGGCAGCGGCCAAAACCCTTTTCTCACTGCTTTGCTTTGCTTTGCTTTAGCGACCCCTTGAGCTGCAAACGGAGGTGCACCATACAGGCTTCAGGTGTTTAGGAGGATTCTATACGTCGCCCCGTGAGTGTGAAACTTGTGTCTATGCGCCTCTTGCGGCCTGCTTCAAGTTGGGTTCATGCTCAAAGCCAGAGTTCCAGTGTTGAGCCTCTCTTTGGAGAACCTCCGAGTTTTACACTCCCTCAAACACCTTTAGGCTGGCCTTGACCTCCTCCCTCTCGATGGGTGTCAGCTTGACCCCAAGCTGCGAGAGCACACCCCAAAGCCCATTGATACTCAGCGTTGCCTGCCGAGGCAAAAGATAAATCAAATTCCGCAGATTGCTGTTCACTGCGAAAAAATATCCTTGGGATCCGTGGTTGGCGACCCTCGCTCGGCAGTCAAGCCTCTCCATGCAATCACAGATCGTAAGAAGTCTTTTGGGCCGACTCCGACCTCTGGAGAACACTGCAGACAGCTCATCCACTTCTGCCTTCCACAGCAAAGAGGCTATCAGAAATTCAAGCTGGATGATAAAACTGTCTCTTCCAAAGTTGAAAAAACTGGAGGGCACATTTGAGGACTAGCTTGAATCCACGACGCGCTCAAAATGCAAAGGGTATGACAGTCTCCTGGCCTGCGAGAAGCTGGACGGACCACTGCCTCGAAGCTGCGAAGCCCTCTCTTTGTCCTTGGCAGGCAAAGCTCAGAATCAGCACGCAAACATGGGCCACCTGCCTGATGAGTCTGCAGAATGCGCTGGAGATGAATGAACACCCACTGCGTCACCGCGGGGGAGCCCTCTGTGCCACAAAGGTGTGGCGGAACCTTGTGATGTGATGGTGGAAGCTCATGCAAGGGCAGAGGCTAATGCGTTGCAAATGCCAAGAAAACCTGCTACTCGCACTAGTCTGCCTCCTCGGTGTGTCTAGATCTAGTCTTCAGTCTCTTAGCCAGGGCACCGGACGAAGACACTCAATGCTATTCGCGACTCCAAAGACCATGAGTTGACCTTTAAGGTTAAGGATATTACCGATTCTGGTCACGGTCAAGACGCTCCCACGCTCGAGTCAAGAACATTGGTTGCACTACCCCTCAGACCCTTGGAAATGCAGCTGCTTCATACGGACAAAGCCACAAGCAACTGGCAGCATCAGCAGTTGGAGAAAACGCTATCTGAGGAGCGCCGGCTTGCAGGGCAGTCGTGCGAGCCTCTTTGATGAAGCTCAGCAGCTGCCTTGTCTACAAGAAGAATGCTTCAGAAACCTCCGGAAACCCAAAGTCTTTTCTAGACAGTCCTATGCCTAAATCATGGACAAGTAGCATCTGATCCTTTTTCGTCTGCAGTGAGAGACCTGACAGGTGCATGACAAATGGGGGATCCTCACGCTTCGACAAATGACAGATGAAGTTCGAGTGATTAGTTGTCACTTGGACTCACTGGCCTCGATCCTGGCAGAAAGCCACCAACTCATTCTGCGCGATCTCACCGCCTTGGTGGCCGATGTGGCCAAAGCAGCCTGCGAAAACCCCAAACCCACAAGGGCGAATCCGCCCACGTCACGGATTCCTTTCAGGGACTTCTCACCCAAAACAATCTTGACTTTAGCTGCAGCCAGTCGTCTGTCGTCCTCGGTCCGCCAGAATCCGTACATGCAAACACTGCTGCTTACTAATCTAATCACAATAAAAGCTTTACGTAGCTTTACATTCGGACCTCACTAGCAAGAGCTCCTGCAAAGAGCAGATTTACAGTTACAGGATTCATTGCAAGCGTGTAATTCAAGAAGAGCTTCACTGTCCAGCGAGCTGAAAAGCTTCTGGAACTTCTGCACGGCTTCGTCAGAGAAGCCTGCCTGCCTCGGAACAAACGATTTATGTGTGGTTTCGCACTCACGCGGTGACCGGCATATCTCTTCCGTCCAGTCACTTGCGCATCTTCTCCATGTTCATGCGACGACAAGAATCGCAAAGAAGCACCATAGCATCGTAGTCCAATGCGTCTCGAAGCAAGGCGCGGAAAACACCTGACGCGGATTGGCAAACCGAAATCAAGCAGACTGCCCTGCAAGCAATGACAATCAGTCGCATGGTGCTGCCTGTGGTTGAGTTCACAAACTTTTCAGAGAAGCCAAGCAGACTGAGCATTGTTTTGACATCTCCAGGCTCCACAGTGACCTTCACAGCTCCATCCTGAATGGGTTCAACGCACTATTTCCATCATCGGAATCGATGCTGCGATCTGCTGAGAATGTCCTCTGCAACGTATGTGTCGGCATACTTGTCGAAGGTATCCTTGATTCCTGAGCAAACGTTGCTGCTAGAAGCGAGATCATGCGGCATGCACCTTCTCACGATTGATTCGGAGAAAAGCGCCGCACTAAAAGCAGCTGTCCAAAACGAGCGTGAGTCACCCCATTACGACCGGCAGAAACACGGGCCACCTTTTGACTAGCTGCGTAGGAGCTCCTGCTCGCGATGCATGCGCATCAGGCGAAGAAACTCTGAGAAATCCTTATGCACATACACACGGCTGTGAAGGACACAATGCATTCAAGCTTAACTCCCTGCTGCTGCCACAGAATTTAGCTGTGGAGCAAGTGAGTTGCTGCCATTCCTTGCAAGTGAGGCCAATGCAAGAAAAGCATGTAAAGCGCCGTGTCGGTTTCAACAAGTGAATGCCACGACTCCAGTCCACCGTCTTCAGGAGCACCTAACAACATAAGATGCAGAGAGAGGCAGCGACCCGAGAGTTCTGCAGCAATTGACAGACATTGAAGTGGATGTGCCTGCACTTCTGCCAGTTCTGTAGCAAATCCCAGAGAGCGCAATATGCCGCCCACTTGAATCACGTCCACCTGCTCTACTATCGGGGCCTTCATGCACAAAGATACCTGCCACCCTGCAGCAACCTCACCAGTTCGGTCTGTGTCGAACATGTCAAAGCTCTGCTTGAACTCCTCCGATCGCAGCATTCCACAATTCCACAACTTCAAGGAGACCCCGCATCGTGGGCTAACTTTGTCTGCAATTGCTCTGCATCTGTCCCTGATTTCATGCCGCATGAAGCCATTGGAATTGCGAAAGAGCTCCATCCTGGGATCTGGAACATCTAAGCCGCACTTGGAGTCACTGAGTCCACAAGACACTACTAGAAAGCTGCGGAACCATATTCTCGCAGCTTTCAGCACAAAGGCCTATAGCTGCGTCCAGTTTATCACCAACGCTGCCGGAAACGCAGTAAACTAGCAGTGTGCATGGATGAATGTGAAAAATGAGTGGGAAGCTGTAGGCTCCTCAGTGTGTGTGTTCTTGCGAGCAGCCAGGCTCATCTACTTTGCAGCGTTGCAAGTCCTGTCGTGGTAAGAATCCAACGCAAGCGAAGACCATCATAGCTTCCCTTTCTTATGTGTCTGTCTGTGCGGGGTGAGGAGCCTTCGATTGCCTCACATAAGTTTTTGCAAGGCGGTTCACTGACTAACCCATCCACTTATCTGCACGAATTGTGCTTTGTTGGGAGCAAGAGGCATCTGGACGAACTCATCGAAATCCAGAGTCCCACCTCTTTGCTCAAGGCTGGTGAAATCGCGTGCATCTTACCTGGTAGATATGGCCCAGCCCGGCCATTGAAACTGGAACAAGGCCCAGCTCGGGTTCGTGCGTTTTTGCGGCTCAATTGCCTCTATCATGTCCATGATCACCTCAGGTCGAACAATTCAAGCATGAATCAAAGCTTTGCGAGCTCTCTTGAGGCGTGTCTCTGCACGGAGAGGCGTGTAGCCAAGACGTTGCAAGACCAGCCGAATCTCCTCCTGGCATCTCCGCAGTCAGCACCACAAACCCCAGATCAGGCTTTGTTAGACTTGGGCCGCTGGGATCCTCGTCCAGGAAGCCCCCTTGGTCAACATCTGCGCGTGCGAACTCCTGAGGCATGTTGGGCATGTGCCCTTAAGATTGTTTAGAACGCCAATCCCGAGCCCTGTGGAAGGCGGCTCTACATGTAGACAGCTGTCGGCTCCTGCTTGTACCATTGCACTTCAATCTCACGAAGGCGCCTGTGCTGGGCTAGGATTAAGCATCCAGCTTCCATGGACGTCTTCACATGTGCCGCCTGGCCCAGATCAGGAATTCACCTGGACTCATACTGTACCCTCTCACCAATTTCAGAGGATCCGCTCACAGATCCCATTGAGAACAGGCACGGAACGTCATTCCTTCGACTTTCTTGGTCGGCTTCTTACCCTTTGCAATGCACGAGGCTGCTACAGAGGAACTGAGGCAGGAGCAGGCTTCAGCCGAAGCGCAAGGTCTAAAGACAACAATAGCACTTCCTTGTCTCTTCCCAGTTTGCAGTTGCCTCTTCACCTTCGGAAGGCGGCCTGCAAAGCAAAAAGGACTCTGACTAGTAAAGGGCTCAAGAAAACGTCCTCCCAAACAGCCTGGGCATGGCGCTCCCGAGCCGCGAGGCCAACTGCGCGGCCTGGCTGCCAAACATCTCGATCAGGGCCTGGCAGCTGCGGCAGCTGCGGCAGCTGCGGCAGCGGCAGAAAGGCAACGGAAAAAGAGCAGTCTTGCAACTTGCAACCTGCCTTATTGGAGCGGTCAAAAGGCAGCATTTGTCTACCGGATGTGCTTGGCCTGGGTCTTGTTACTGAAGCTAGAGCTTGGCATCCGCTAGACGCGAGTTCAACGCGAAGTGCAAGCTGCATTGGTCAGTGTTGAGCCATCAGAAACATTTCCTGGGAGTCCGGATGGCCGTTACCAGGAAAGTGCTGCCGTGCAGCGTTGCTTCCGCAAATCGACGGAATATGCGATGAAGCTTCAGTACCTAGAGACTTGCCGCGGACGCTGCTTGCGCTGCATTGGCTCTATGGGGCCCGCTGCGCGAGATCCCCACCCGGCCTCCGCCTCAGAGAAGCCCTCCGTTTTTCCTTGCGTGCTCCATGTCTGCGCCACACGGATATAGCACAGCACTGCAAGGCGCAGCTTCAACAGGCCATCTGTGCAGCCAGGACACTATAGATCAGCAAAAGCTGGACAAACTCCTCGAAGTCTAGACTACCCGAGCCATCTTCGTCCACAACAGACAGAGCTCCAGCAATGGTCGTTCCTTGTGGGATGATGCCCAAGAAATCACCCACAGCCCGGGACATCCTGCATCATATGATGCATCCTAAACCCAACCAGCTGATCTGCTGCCCTAGCTGCGAGATGGAGTAATGCCCAAAGACTTCAAAACGTCTTCCTCAGAACTGATTTGCATCTTTGTCTCCAGACAGCCGAATGCGCAGCGTCCAATCACAAAAGGTTATGGTGGCAGGTGTCCAACTCATCGGCGCTGAGCTCACCAGACTGATCCGCATCAAAAAGCATGAACTTCTCCCGCACCTTCGAGCGCGTCCAAGCTGGATGAAGTGCACTGCTTCAAGTTTCTGCAACAAAATGTCAGCAATTCTGACTGCTCAGCTGCCTGATTCTGGTCGTATGCCTTGGAATATTTACGCAAGGAATTAGAAGTTGGTTGATGTTGCTGATATGGCATACCACCTATCGAAGGATGGCACTCCATGCGTTTCTGATCGCAGCATGCACGCAGGCACGTTGCATGAAAAAACTGCTGGGTTCTGATTTCCCCTCAAGATAGTTCTTGTGAGTGCACAGGCCCTGTGCGGACCCCACATCCCAATTGCAAATCATTTCTTGGGGACAAAGGCCTTGCAAACATTGCTCAAGAGCCCAAAGCTACAGGATTCAGCAGAGGTGCCCTTGCCCGCGTCATGAAACTTACGAACTCTTCGAACTCCATGGTAGAATACCTCCTTGGCTGTCACAACTTCATTTCACGCTGATTAAGAACTGCTTCAGTCAACGTCCAAGCTGCGTAATTTCAGATACCATTGCATGTATGTCAGCCTCTGGTATCTTGAGGTATCCGAGGTAATCGAGAATCCTCGGCACTGACTTAGGCAACTGCAGAAGCACATCTGCAAAGAACTCGTGAGTAACCGCTTCCCCCTGAAATAATGTGAGATTCCCTTCTTGAGATACAATTAAAATTCAATTGAAAAGCATGCAAAGCTAAATAATATTGGAAGGCAATTGAAATCTAATTAAAATCACATTAAAACGATGCAAATCTAGATAATAAACAACTGAAGTCCAACTGAAATCCCAATTAGAACCATTAACATCTTGTCAAAATCCTATTAAGGTCCATCAGAATCTTAAGCCTAAATCAGGTGAAAACCCATGGAAACCTCATTAACATCAAGTTAAACAAGATTATCATCCGGCTAAACCAATTAAAATCGCATTTAGACTATATATAAGTTCCTTCATAGAAAGCAGTAAGAACCAATCAATCCAAAAATCGCCCGAGTGACGTCAGAAACCCTCTAATCCATTATTAGGCGACCCCTTTTGTGTCTTAGTCTTCCCCTTCTGAAAGTGACCTTCAAAGTTTGTTTTTTTTTGAGGCCGTTGTCCGTCTGCAGGAATGCATGCTGAGTGTCGTTTCCGACAAGGCCCGTTGGCAGAACTTTCAAGCTTGCAGTTGTACAGTTTTTTTTCGGCCCCTGGATTTATCATTTAATTCTGGGGGGGCTGTTATTTGTAGGGGAGGTGACTACATTGCTTGCCGTGCATCTGTTCCAAATCGTCCGTGTGTATCTCGGGGCCTGAACAGTGTCAGGGCCAACTCTTTCAGTCGTGAGTTAGCTAGGTTCGTGAAATCGTGCCACTGTACAGCAGCGAGGGACAACGCATCGCATAAGAGAGAAAATTGGAACATGCAGATTACATAATTGCACAGACCCCTGCAAATACGTCGAGTCTTTTGCAGCCGCGGCTCTGAAAGCTTGCCTTGGCTTCTCGCAACTCGGGAATGCACGAGCACATGGCCTGCTGTCATTTTTTTAGCTGGGGAGCCGGTGCAGCAGGAAGGCTTTGCGCAAACGCTCGGACTCCTTGTCTGTGAAGCCTTCAGACCTGCATGGGGCCACTAACCCTAGAAACCTGTCAAGGATTGTACAAGACTGTACACTTAGACCGCTCCCTGCGCGGTAGTGTCACTAAGTCGTGGGCGAATCGCCCATGCGCATGAGCCTCGGTCAGTTTTCTTCTTTGCCTCTCCCTCCCTTGGCAAAGTCAGATGAGTCATGTGAATCCCATTCATTGATCGTCAAGTTGCACTTCTTGCTCGTTAGGAGGAGTAAGAATCTCCTAGGCTCTCCAAGAAGCAGCATCAACCATCTGCGTTCACATCATGTTTGACACGCCTGTAATCTCCTGCCAGGGCACAATCAAGTCGGGATCTTGTAGGTCAGCCTCGCCTCCGGCGAAGGCTTCACCTGCTTAGTCAACTGACTCACCGGGCCCAAGGGGTTCAGGGGACCTGCCTCGTACCCTAACATGCTTGAGCGTGATTTTCGCTGGTGCTGGCCCTGCTTCTTTGGCACGTCCAGTGTCCTCCACACCAACTTCGACCAATGGCTTTTGATATGTTCGAACCACGCAAGCTTTCCACACCGCCTCCTCCACATTGGGCAGGCTCGTCTTGCGATTCGAATTTCTTCGTCGTGCCAACATGGCTTCGATGCTTTTTCTTCGCATTTGAATAGACTGCAAGGATGGAGCGTGCACAACGGGTGCACCTTGGCCGAGCTTGCTCATCAAGCACAATTAGCCGGAAAACCTTGAAACAATAACATGAAGCACTAGACAAGTCTCTCTCGGGCGGCTCAGCACCAAAACTTGAAGATCCATCCGATTCGATGTCATCTGCCTGCGCAAAGTTGTGATGCTTCATGTCACGTGTTGAAGAGTGCTCAGGACAATGGTAAGCCACTCATTTTTCCGGCCTCTTCGGCAACTTTAAGATCTGCCAGCGTCCACCAGCAGCTCAGGCTCCTGGCATGCTTTGCCCTTCAGCAAGGTCTTGTGGGTATGTTTCGTGCCGCCTGTATTGCTTCCTCGAGCGCTGCGCAGTGCCCTGCGAACAATTGGGGAAGCCACTTTACCATGTGCTACGTGTTTGAAGGGGATGGGTCCGAATGCGAAGGCCAATCCAAGGCGCGTGCCGGTCTGGAGCCTTCGATGCAGGCGAAGATTGTCAGAAAACTTGTGCACAAGTGTGTTGCGATTGCGCGAAAATCAAGCAAGTGTGCAAATCAACTCCCCATCAATTGCCTTCTCGCCTTTCATGGGCGATTCGCTTTGTCGCTCTGCCTGAAACACTTTGCACCCCTCCCACATGCAGGCTCTCCTCTCATTGGCAAGCCTCAGCCTGTCGAAGCAAATAGAATTCATGCAGTGGCTTGCGGTATTTTTCCACACGAAATTTGAACCCACTGCAAGCCACCCGACAGGCACTGGGTGCGGGGCTATAAGATTTGGCAAAAAGTTGCTCAAATGACAACGCCAACCCGTCTGCTCCAGGTGTCGGCCTCCCGGTAAAACAGCTCAAGAGCTTCCAAAAGCTGAAGTCAATCACATGCCAAGCAGGTGGCTCATATTGTCATGTTCGCTAGAACAGATTCTCTGGCCGGCTTTATGAATTTACTTTGGCCTGCTTCTTGAGGCGACAATGCCTGCACAACAAGCTTCTCGTAACATGAAACACGCTTTGTAGAAGAATCCAGACAACATTCTCGGTTGCCAACGCGGGCTGTGCCACTGTAATGTGCTTGACATTGTGTTTGCAGTTCCCGGACGGCGCGTCCCTCACAAATGTCGTGGCCAATGATCAGCACATGCATTTGGCGAGCAACCACTGCCTGATGTACTCCAGTTTAAGCACTTGCTTCCAGCAAAGCCTGGGATGTCCAACCCCACAAGTGCTCGAGGGAAATGCCGCAAAAAAATATACGCCTCAACGCATAATTACTACATCTGGCTCATACACCGGGAGGCTCATGATGCTTCCCTGCTGGCTGCCGAGCATGCTGCAAGACGCCTCATGTCATCAGAGGTCAATTGTTCTTGGACGATTTTTTGCTGATGGCCGTTGTGATTCTCAAACATTTTGTACCTGTTAGCGCACGAACAAGATCCTCCGACATAGTGCTGCAAAGAGTCACTGGCTGTCAACGGCCTTTGATAACCGCAGCCATGTCCTTCACAGTGCCGGCGCTGCAGTTCTCGGCTCTGCAATTTGGAACCTGCATCCATTCATTCCAAAATGCATGCAAGGACTTTGTTGCAACTGCAATCCAGCAAGAATTGCCTGAAAGGTCTGTGTGGTCTGCGCCCAACACATTCATGGAGCCCTTTGGGCGCACACCTGAATCTGGACAAGGTTGCAGCAAGATTGCAAGCTGAGTGTATTTCGCATTCAGACAAAGAACTGGTGTGCTGCACCATGGAGCTTCATCAAAACAAGCGTAATGCCACCTAATGTGCTCACAATACACGTTTCTTGACGTTTCTCTGGACCAACCCTGTGTACAAAACAATATTTAAGCGCACTTGCCAGCCAAGACCTCGGTTTGGTTTCATCAGCTTGGATTGTTTGCTTGTCTTCATGCAATTGTTCAGCCATCCCTTGAACCAACAAGTCGGCAACGTATGGTATTGCGTGTGCTGCTTCAACAGCGCAACCGGTCACTCCAAAAAACACGAGCTGTTTCCAAAAGTACTGCCAAAATCACATGCGAAACACGCGGGCAACCCTCACTTTCATCAGGACGGCGGCAATGTCAAGTCGACGTGCCTGCTTTTGGATGGCATAGTCCCCTCCGTGTGGAAGCAGCTAACCTGAGTGTCCATATGGCCGCTTTCACCTTGACTCTTTTGTCTTGTATGCGAAAACTTCATCTTTAAGAATAATCAGAATTTCAGAAAGCTCAAGTGACAAATATCTTTTCCTTGGAGAAAAGATAATGTGCAGGCAAAATTTATAAATGGAAGGTTCTGCCACAAGGTATCTCGGAGTATTCACGTAAATATTTAATATTCAATTCGGGTCAACTCAAGCGGACTGAATCTTTTTCCATGATGGGGAATTGTCAGGCGCTGTGCCGGTTTTCACCCTCCACGGTCGGGTAGGCACAGTAAATGTGAATGAAATGTGTAGTGATGAAGATTCTCCAGAAAAGAATCTTTGATGTTCATGTGTGTAGTTTGCCTAGTGCAGTGCAGCAGCGACAAAAAGCATGCAAGCGGAGCCCTTCTTTTTGTCCACAGGGTTGCTGGAGTTAGCCTTGCGAGCTGGAGCATGCAGGCTTTGCCCGCAGGCTCCAGCATGCCTATATCGCAGTGTCTTAGGGGGCCTACTTCAGTCTCCAGCAACCCTGTGTCACGGCTAGCTGACTTCTCCCCTCACCGCGTCAGGGGTGTTGGAGGCGTACCTGACTGCGAGGCGACAGGCTCGCAAGGCAGGGCAAAGCTGCAGTAAGAAACTAGGGTGTGCAAAGGCAGCGGCCTTTTGCGCGACTGAACGTGCGGTCAGGTGCTTGCCTGCAGAAAGACCTGTTGCCAGTTGGCATCCTGCGGGTGCAACTGGATGCGACCGGTGCATGCCGCAAGTTGGGCGAGCGAGAACGTGTGCCTCTGGTGGGAGCGGCGCGCAAAGCGCTGCAACTTATTGCGGCTGAGTTCGTCAGCCCAGGTGTTTTTCTCGCCCGCAACGCGCGTGACCTGGAGGTGAACATGGTTGCATGCCGACCAGGCCGCGACATCTTGCAGGAAGTCGCATAAGGGCTGCGTAGTGGTGAACAGCCTGTTCGCGCCAGCCTCAGCGCTGGTGTTGTCACTTGCGGAGGGCAGGCAGAACTTCCAGTGCTTGGCCGTGAGGCGGTGCTTGGCCATCATGGCGAGTGCAAGCTGCGCGAGCGTCTCAAAGCAGGCAATATAGGCCTGCGCCCCTTTAGTCAGCTTGGGGTAGTGCCTGCGCACCTCCGCCATGCTCCACTGTTGCGCGAACCAGCAGAAATCAGAGGACGCGCTAATCCATCCTCCGATGCCAACTATGTCTCCATCCGCGCGCGCATCCGCGGCGGCCACGCAGCGCAGAACTGGGGCTTGGCGCAGGGAGACCACGCGTGCGTGCCCAAAGCAGGCGTGCAGCCAATGCAGGCAGATGCGGCTGTCCTTGCACAGGTGAATCGTGTCGGGCTGGGTCCGGACCCATGTTTCCTGGCGCGCGCGTGGCACGAGCGGGATGCTGGACTTGTCTGCGACTGCGTGACCGGCCACTTCGATTCGAGGACCTTTCCCCCGAGAGGCAGCCAGAGGCCTGCCGGAGAGCGTGCTATCGCGCCGTCCGGCGCGAGGGCGTGGAGGAAATGCTGCCACATGTTTGGGTGCACGGGGCCATGTAGGGTCTAAGCTGATCGTCGTGGCCCACATCAGGAGGCCGAGGAGTTTTTTGAGGGTCTTCCAAGTCACCTTTTTGGCGCGAGCAACGTCCAGCAGCTGCAGTTGTAGCTTGGCTAGCTTGTCTGGCACAAGCGTGACTGTCTCAAAGTCGAGGTTGTATAGCCAGCCACACCAGACGATGCTATGGCCAAGCTGAGCTTTGCGCCAGCTTATGGGGGCATGGACGCAGGCAAGGAGACATACCAGGAGGCATGTCTGCTCCACGAAGGTGCGTTTGGCAAGCATGGCCAGGAGGTCGTCCACGTACAACCAGGCCTTGTGCGAGAATTGCGCTAGCAGTGCGTGCATGATGCGGAGCAGGAGTCCTCCGACTCTCTGCCACCAATAGGCGCTAAATTTTGCGCCAAAGTGACAAACGGTGTAGTGGTAGAGCTTGCCAGCGTGCTGGAAGAGCAAGCATCCTTGCTAGTCTTGCCGGACTTTCACGCATTTATGTGCAGCTTTGAAGTCCAAAGACAGTCCGACGAACTGGCCGTAGGAATCATCATGCTCAAACGTGCGTGCGACATCCATGCTGGTGGGCAAGCGAACATGCTCAGGCACGAAGCACAGGGGATTGGCGTTGCAGATCGTGCTGTCCAAGACCAGGCGTGCCTCTTTGCCCTCAGCTTGCGCGACATTAAGCTTGCCCCCGGCAGTGCGTGCAGGCCAGGCTTTCTGGGCGTCCTGGAGGGATCCGTGGAATTCCTTCACCCAACCGTTGCTGACTTCTTTGCTTATGAGCTCGTCCAGCAGCTGGGGATTCTTTTCAGCACGCGTCCAGTTGCCGGCGCAGCGCAAGAGGTGCATGTCATCGAGGTCATCTTGCTGCAGGTGAGGCTGGCGCTGGGGCCACTGCATGCTGGACGGAATGGGCTCGAAGATGCCGGTGGGGACCCCCTCCTTGAGTAGCGCGGGCGTCCCACATCTGGGTCTTGCGCGCAAGAGGCAAATGCACGCAGAAGCTCGAGGCGAAAGGGCTGGCCTGGCGAAATTTGCACGCAGGAGGATTTAGAGCAGTTGGGATGCAAAATGGAGTGGGCCATGTCCGCGAGGGCATGCTGATGCACGTCTGCGAGGGGACGGGAGTCGATTCACGCAAATGCTTGATGACAGGCAGGAAGAGATGGTGCTCCGTGAGGTAGGAGAGCCAGGCGCGCTCAGGCCCTAGTCAGGGTCCAGGACGAGCTGCCAGCGTACGCGCAGCACGCCCCTGTGTGCCCTACCCTGACCCCAGCCAGCAAGCAGTGCACGCCAATGTCTGGGCAGAGCACGCACCGTCCAGGCTCGAGATACCTTCGAGCCTTTCGACCTCGCTGCTGACGCTAGTCATGATGCGCTGGACAACGCCATGTTTCACCTCTTGCTCCGTGTGGCTTTCAGTGGCATAGTAGGCGTGGCCTGGTCTGCACAGCCCTGCAAGCACTACAGCGTGCTCAAGCTCCGCAGGCCCGGACCAAAAGCCCTTTGCACGCCCGAACGGAGTCCCTGGACTTTTCCCGCAAGAGCAGCGGCAGGTGGACGAAAGCAAGGAGATTCACGCGCGGGCCCCGCCAGCTCCTGCGTGTGCATGAAGCAGCCGGGCACACTGGCATGGAGCAGCCTCCCTCGGCAATGAGCTGGCTTGAGGAAGACAACCTGGTCTTCCTTCGCGAAGTAGCGGCCACCTGCGCGCAAGTGCCCGCGTGCGCCTTCGGCCTCGACATGCACAAGACCTGGGCTTTCTGCGGCTCCATGCCAGCTCTCAAGTCCCTGGCGGGCGTTTGAAAGCAATTTTGCGGGACGCACCAGTACCTCACAGGAACTAAGGACCCGCAAGGTTCGTGGCTAAGCACCCTCTCCGCAGAGTATCCTCCGGCTTTGGCGGCAGCCGTGGCCGGCATCTTCAGCCCCTACCTCAGCTCCACAGGCAGGCGTAAGTTCAGCATAGCCGACTTTGCTAACCTGCTGCCGGAGCCGCAGGTGCACCGGCGCCCGCCAGCTTGCGACGGAGCCGGCCTGCACAGTTCGGCGGACCACCACCAGCCAGCTGGCACACGTCGCAGGGGCCAAAAGGAGAAACGGGGCCCCACTGATGCTGATGATGCCGGCCAAGGGGGCCAGCATCATCAGCATCACTAGGGCTCCGTTTTTCCAATTTTGACTTCCCATTAACTCAATGAGCCTGCGTGGAGCCGCATTTTTTTTCAGCCCTACCCCAGATTTTGAGGGGTTTGGGGGACCCCAAACATCATTCAACAATCCTTGCACAGTGGGGGGGGTCGCTTCAAAAACGCGGGTGAATTTCATAGTGGTTTTGGCATGGGGTCCGGGAGGGGCCCCTTGGAGAAACGGAGGTCCGATGATGCACCGGCGGCGGGGGTTCGCGGCAGTGTTGCCGCCGCCTGTAGAGGCAATAGAGGTAACGGCGGCGAGGCCGGATTTAAGGGGCAAAACCCAGAGGCGGGCAACGCAGGCAGTTTGTAGGGCGAGCCTAGATTTCTACCGCCCCGGCGCCTTGAACTAACACAGTCACCCCCCTCAAAGTGGAGAATTGAGCCCCCAGTGACGCTAAGGAAACGGCCAGCACCATCCCCCCCTATCTTTTGGTGCCTGGGC